AAATAAAATAAAAAATACGTAATAATAAATATTTTTTATTATATTTTTTAATACCGAATTTTAATCTAATATTCGCTGGGTTACTACTGCCGAAGCAAGTAAATATTTGTGCATATGCAGTCAAACCTCCCTAAATGCTCAAAATACTTTAAAAGAGATACGTACTTAATTTTAAATTTTTAATCAAAAATCTAAAATTATGCATCTTTTTTTTAAAGTTAAAAAAATAAAGTAATAATATATTAATATAATATATTTTTATATAAAACTTAAAGTATAAAATAGAATTAATTAGTAAAATTAGAAAATATTAAATGGAGTTGATGGTTTAATAAAGAGTAACTTGTTGGCAAAATATTGAAGTTGATACCAAGAACGTAGTAAAACTGAATGTATAGAAGAATAAACCGCTGGCAAAATCGATCTGATTATATAGTACTTTGAAACGCGTACACATGGGAAAATTACCGTACCGCACTGATTAAAAGATCCCCATTTTATTATATCCCCCGTGTAAAATACCCGTGTAAAAATCAAAGAAATTCCATTAATTGTGATCAGATCTTTTTAAAATCTCAGGCTGTATACCATGATTAAGTAATGTATATGCATTTGAAATTTTTACGGTTTGAGATAGAGATCCTCTGCCGTACAATATACCCGGGTCTTTTAATCAGTGCGGCACGGTATTACAAGATCGGCCCGTGGATCTCTGGGTCCCCGATTTGATGCAAATTTGACCAAAGTTATAGGCGATCGGTTCTGCTATTTAGAAAAAAAAAATTTTTTTTTTAAATCATTAAACAAAAAATCTTGACAATTTTTTTGCACAATTAGTTTCCATTTCCCCTTTATAATTAAATTATCGTGGTTTGAAAACATAATTTGGGATCTTTGCTAGGAAAATGACTCTCCGAGGCTATGTTGATTTTGTGAATAGAAATTAAATATGCCGGCCATCTAGTTATCCAATTTGAATGATCCTTTTTTATTTTGTAGAGCTTATTTAGCTCCACAAAAAAAAAAAGTTCATTCAAATTGGATAACTACGTAGATGTTTGGCAAATTTAATTTTTTATTCACAAAATCAACATAGCCTTTTTTATAGCAAAGATCCCATTTGATTGGATAATTATCACGATGATCTGTTAAAAAAAAAAAAAATTTGCTACTTTTGATTGGTTCAATTTTATCATCTTCGATATAAAAAAAAAATTTTTTTGGAATTTCATTTATCATCTATTCATCTATTCATCTAATAGAAAGAGCGAGGCAATTATGGTAGTGTATTTAAAGACATGTCCAACGAAATTAAAATGGTCACTTGTCTCGAAGATTGGTGAGCTGTATTAGAGCAACATGAAACAAAAACTTGAAACTAACAAGTTTTTAATTATGTTTTGCTCAATGACCCAATAATGTATACAGCCGAAGGCTAAATCGAAAAAGGTCGCTCCCCCACCTTACCCTGTAAAGAAAAAAGACGGGGGAAAGGCTACTAAAAATCCTTTATTCGAAAAGAGGCCTCGCAATTTTGGGATCGGTATGTGATATTTTTTGTATTTTGAAAGGGGCATATTTATTTCTTGTCAAATTTATAAATTGTATTTATGCGATTAGGTCAAGATATCCAGCCAAAACGTGATTTAACTCGCTTTGTAAAGTGGCCCGAATATGTACGCTTACAAAGACAACGCAAGATCCTCAACCAACGTCTTAAAGTTCCGCCAGCCATTAACCAATTTACTAAGGTTTTGGACAAACCTACTGCTACCAATGTCTTCAAATTGGTGAACAAGTAT